TAGGAGCTGTTATGTAATAGAGCTTATCTTGAAAAACATTGAAATACAGCAAAGATACAGAAAATTATCACAATGAAAACATACTCATCAATGATTTATCAGTGAACAGCCTCAAAACCATCGATTACCACTAGAGGCGCTCTTTCTGCTGCCTCTGAATTGCTTCCCTTCCCTTAAGTATGTCACTAGGTTACTTTGGCTTAATCATTTCCTTGTATATATCCTGATGAATCACGTTTTATAGCCTCTCCCAAAAGTGTGTAGTATATGAAGTTATTGAACTTTATGTTATTAAAGCACACATCATTCTTTTTTAAATCTTCTTTTGCTCTGCATTGTTTGCAATATCATTAAGTCACTGAGAAGCTAGTTTAAAATTTTTTGGTGCTGCATAGCATTCATTGTATGAGTATACTGCATTTTAGCTCTCTATTCAACTGTGGATAGTTGAGTTGTTTCTGGTTGGGAAAATTACAAATGCTGCTATAAACTTTCTTGTGCATGTCTCTTGGGACACATACAAACATTACTCGTGGGAATATAGCTAAGAATGCAATTATTGCATCTTAGGTTCTGTTTATCTGCAACATTAGTAGATATTGCCAAAATAGTTTTGCAAGGTGGTACCAACTTATGTCCCCACCAGCAGTGAAAGAGAGTTTCCATTGCTTCACGTCCTCAGTAGTTTTGGTAAATGGGAGTCTTTATAATTAGTTGATTAACTAGGTGTCTGGTGGTATCCCACTGCGATTTGCATTAGCAATTCCCTGATGGCCAATGGATTCCAGCACTTTTTCATATGATTATTGACAGTTTGAGTGTCTTCTTTGTGGAAGTGTTATTTTAATTTCCGTGTGTGTGTGTGTGTGTGTGTGTGTGTGTGTGTGAACCAACTTCTCTCTCTCTCTCTGGAATTCTTGATTATTTGTATTGTAGAAATTTCCTGCTTTCTGGCTTACCATTTACTTTTGTATTATGAAGTTTATAAACAGAAATTCTTAATTTTGATACGATCCATCTTATCCCTCATTTTTCATACATAGTGCTATTTGAATTCTGTCACGATAGTTTTCCTCTGTTGAGCTTTTGATGTTATGTTAGCATATGTTATCTTTTAGAAGCTTTATCATTTTACCCTACATATTTATATCACTTAAAATATATAGATACCAATTATCTTAGCATATGTTATGAAAAAATAACTTTAGCTCACTTTCTCATAATTTAATTATTCATATATTAATTACTCTATCTTTGAGCTCTTTATTTCATTCCATTTATCAGTCAGTTCATTCTTGTATTAGTGCCATATAATTTTAATTACTGTAGCTTTGTAGTAAATCTTGATTTCCAATACAGAAAACCATCCCACCTTATTATTCTTCAAGAATGTGTTGATTCTTTCCCTGGCACTTTCATATCCATTTTAAAATTAGTCTGTTAGGTATTACCAGAGAATCTGTGGTATTTTTACTACGATTGCACTGAATTATATAAAGTATGTCCTTTTCCTGATTTGTAAACCAACAGCTCTGGTTTATACCTAAAGCCTTCATATTCTATCTAGCATAGAATTTGTCAGAGATTATTATATTTTATTTATGTTATTATTATTAAATTAAAATATGCTGGATGAATTTTGCTAGACCTCTACTTTGTAATTCTAGTTCTTATGTGGTCTTAAGTAGCATTGGATAAGCACATGTGCAGCAAACAGAATTCTTACTTTGACATGTGGTTAAATATGGAAAATGACCAGCAATTATCTACCTTTCTTCTCAACCCGCTCCACTCACACTATTGTTAATAACATCCTTTCAAAGACAGTAAAGGGGTTTAGCTAATCCATTCTGATCCGGTAGTGTTGGTGGGAAAACTATACTATTTGACTTTGTTGTCTCTGCTAGTCACCTGGTGTGCTATGGTATATTTGACTAATTTTGTCTTATAAAAAAATTATTTGCCAAAAAATAATGCTCTGAGAAAATAATAATACCTGTAAAAATACTTGGAAGGAGGTATTTTAGTGTGAAAACTCTATGTCTACACATTTGATAACGTAGATGATATGGACCAAGTCCTTGAAAGACTCAATCTGTCAAAATTCACTCAAGAAGGAATAGGAAATGTAAATATGCCTTCCAAAATAGAAATTATCAATCCCAGGTGCATTCATGGATAAATTCTACCAAACATTTAAAGAAAAAATTGTATCAATTTTTAGTCTTGTACAGAAGGAAGAAGCAGAATACTTCTTAATTCATTTTATGAGGTCAGCACTATTTTAGCATGGAAACCCTACAGAGCAATTATAAGAAAACTGTTCACCAATATCTCTCATGAATATGATGTAAAACCCTCAACAGAATTTGTTAAGTTAAATCTAACAAGATAGAAGAATTATACACCATGACCAAATATGCAAAGCTGGTTACCCAACATTGAAACGACTCTGTACTAAAGTGGAATGGTAGATACATACCTTTTATCATGTGTGTACAACCCACAGAGTCTGCAACACCAGGGATAGGCCCTGATATAAACTATGAATTCTGGCTGATAGAGGTGCCTCCATGTATCTTCACATGGCATAACCAATGTACCATTTTGGTGGGAGATATTGATAGTGAGCAAGTTTGAGCATTTCAGGGGGGAGGGATATATGGGAATTTTCTTTACTTTTCCCTTAGTTTTGGTGTGAATTGAAAACTGCTGTAATAATAAAGGTAAGTAATAAAAAATAGAATTGAGAGTATGATCCAATTAATGTGGCTTAGCCATCTTTAAAGAGTATTTCAAAAATTAAAATAATATCTACAGGAAGCATCAAGTGAAGGTATCATCAATTTATACACCTTTAATCACAAAGTGAGACTATAAAAATAATTGAATACAATTTGATGAAAATTTATAAATATAACATACCATGTTGAAAAAAAATATCATTTTAAGGACAATACCAGTAGCATGGCATTAGAAATAAAGCTAAGAAATATATAAAGTATGTGATCCTATACCATATATAATTATGATTGTATAAGTTTAAAAGTTTAAATAATTCACAGAAAGGGTTTTTTCTTTAGGTTAATTTTTTAAGAGAGAGTATATTTTTGAAGTATGTTAAACAAAATTATTTTTTAAGACCACCATTATAATGAAACTAGTATCAGTTGATCAATAGATTACTATTTGTTTAAGGTTTTTCACTAGACTGAAAATAATAATGGTTACCTTATTTATCAATTGGGAAGACTTGACAACTTAGTAATATTGGGCTTTTCAGTCTTTGAAAATGGTATTTCCATTTATTTACTTAGGTTTTCTTTAATGCCTCAATATTACTGTATAGATTTTTCCACAGAGATTTTTGTACATCATTTGTTAGATTTATTCCCAGGTATTTGATTTTCATGTAAATATTATATTTTAAAAATCTGTTTTTACTTATTTTGGTATATAGAAATGTTTTTTTTTAGATATTGTAGACATCTTGTGAAATTTATTTATGAATTTAAATAATGCATGACAGGGTCTCATGAATAAAAACACACCATATCTGTAGTAAATATATTTTTCTTTTGTAGCTTGGATATGGGTGTATTACCTTATTTGTTCAAATTATTGAACAGGGTGGCGCTCAGGAATGACTAGATTTAAAGAGCAAAACACCGGGAGCGTTAAACCCCCCTTGGCTTCTGCCTCTTTTGCTCTGTGGTATTGACTGCACCTGCTGCCGAACAGCTTTGCCATCACAGCAGGGAACACAGCTCCTGACTGTAGAATTTGTATCCTTATGTTTTGTCATCTTCCTTCCCTGCTCCTCTCCTCAATGTCTAGTAAGAAGAATCCTAGGAAAAATCTAGAAAGTGCCTGTTAGGTCCTTTGCCGGCCTTTAAATTATCACTGGGGTCAGTTCCTCTAGAAGAGGTTGTTCTGACTGGCCACAGCAGATGATGCCCTGGGGTCAGGGTCAGGGTCAGGATTGGGGTCAGGGTTGGGGCCGGAGTGAGGGTCTGTGTGTGGAGACTGGACAGAGGTGAACAGTAGGTCCTGAATCAGGTCACATACGTCCCATCACACTTCTATTGTATTATTGTTTCTTTCATAAATTTATCTTATCACAATAAATCTCTCACTTATTTCTCCATATTTGCCATCTTTTATGACTCATTTAGTTTTCTTGAATAGATATACTTCTGTCACACAACCTGTTGTTGCCTATGCATCTTTAGAGACACAACCAAAGAACTACGAATCGTTTCTGCCGCTCGCTCCTCTCTCTCTCTCTCTCTCTCTCTCTCTCTCACACACACACACACACACACACACACACACACACACACACACACCCAGGAATAGCAAATTCAACAAATAGGAATTTGTTGAACAATAAAAACTGATAGCTTCCACGGTTTACACAAATAATCAAGTCAGTAGGGATTGACTGTCTCTTCTTCCAGATAGTAATTCTAATATATGTTAAGAATCTCCTCATTTTTCCAGCAGAATAGGGCTGAGAACGCTGAGCATGCTCTGTAGCCATTAATTAACTTAACTTCCTAAGCCTGGAAGAGAGCAGCTTGCTCTTATCTGTGTATATTCTCATAGTAGTGTGTTCTGTTGCTGCTTATTAATTTCAGGAAAGTTAGTTAAATCCTGCTTCCGGGGCCTCCCTGCTGGCACAAGGGGTTAAGCACCGCACTGTGAAGCAATCCGCAGCCTCTGCAGCACGAGTTCGATCCCCGGCCAGCCAGGGAGTAATGCACATGGCGCAGCAGACCTCTCCTGACTCGCCCGCTGCTCCCCTCAGCAGTGTATTTCAGTCAGTCTGCCTGTTCTGTTCCCCACTCTGTCTCTGGTGGATCCTCTCACCCTCCCGCATCTCTGGCCTGTACCCCAGCTCTTGCATGCATAAATAAATAAATCTTAAAAAAATAAAAATAAATCCTGCTTCCATAAAAAAATGGGTGGCAGGAGAGTAGTAAGTGAAAGGTGGGAGGGACAGGTTTTTCTCTTTGTTTTGTCTGGACATGTTGTGACTGTACAGTAATGGAGTCTTTCTTGGGAAGTTCTGTTTCATGTCATCTCTCTCAGTTTCCATCGATGCTCTTCTGCAGCTCGCCTCCCTGCCATGCAGCCTGTGTGTTTGTCATCTGTTTGGGATAGTCCTTGGGAAGAATCAACCTGTCATAGAGAATGAATATAATTTCTGCACAAGGAAACTAAACATTAGGAATTCCACAATCTATTGGAACCATATCTTATGAAATGTCTGTCAAAAAGATGAATTAAAGAAAAATATCAACAATCTGAGTACCCACAATCTGGCAGGAAAATAGTGCGATAGGAAATGGCACATTCAAAGAGTTGGCAGGAATGTAGTGATGTTCCACTGAGGGGCCATCACCCTTTTAATGGTTCCCTTGTTTAGGTCTTTTGAAGAATTCAAAGCCAACTCTTACTAACTTAATCATAGTCCATCATAATCACAGTTGTGCCCACATTCAAAAGGAGGGAATTATATAAGGCATCTACGACAGTGGACGGGAGTATTGGAGACCATCTTAGAATGCTGCCTCTCAGTGGATCACTATCTCAGGAGGGTGACTCTGGCAACATATGAAGGATAGAATAGAAAGGCATGACCCTATAATCAATAGGTATCGTCTCACGTGCCAACTTCAGGCACGTGGTGGAGGCTCCCTCGAGCATGGTACTGAGGGGTCACTGAGATGGAAAGGTCCTCGTAAGTAAGCAGAGTAGAGGCCGGCAGCAGCAAATGCACTATGATTCCCACTCTTGACTTCTCGAGGGCATCCAGGCATTCCTAGACAATGCCAGCCTGTATCTGGCCAGGCACCAGGTTGTGGACAAGATGCAGAGATATTCGCACACACCCTGTGTCCACTAGATCTCAGAGGAGCACATCAGCGGGAAAAGGGAGGGTGATTCTGCTCTGGAGCGTGGCGTGCATGCGAGTCCCACAGTGGCCAAGAACCCAGGGTAAGAGGACATTTGAAATGGAGGCCATGAGGGCGTCTCACAGGCCAGAGCAGCTCTTTTAGCAGAAATTAATGTCGCAGAAATTAGTTCTCATGGACTAAACACAAAATATTTTCATAAAGAAATAGGGTCTGAGGTTGTAAGGGGCAGGAGGCATACAGTGCAGGATCTCTATGACCCGAGCAGGCGGAGTACAGGAAAAGTCCTGGAGCCCTCAGTGGCTTTTCAGGCTTTTATTGGGATTTACCAGGTACATGGCAGGTAGGGGTGCTGGGGCGCTGGGAGGCTGGCAGGCCTCCCAGCCCCCAGCAAATCCTCACTCTTTCTGGGCTCTCCGGTGTTCTCTGGTGGTTCTGCCCTCTGCCCTCTGCTCTCCATTCATTCTGCTTCTGCTGGCATCCCCGTGACGCCACCCTTATAAGCCCAGTCTTAGCCCAAGTGTACCCACTTACCCATGCCCACACCCTACTCCAGGTGCCCGCCATCAGGCATGCATTCAGGACCACAGGGATCCATGATCAATCCTAATGGTGGGAGGGCAGAAAAGCCTGTTACTTTTTTACCTTACCCTACAGAGGTGTTGCCCACTCCCCGCGACTGTCTTTTCTCCAGAGGCCAAGATTGGTTGTGCCGACCTTGTCAGCACCACTGACCTCAGAGATGTTCCTCTTCTCAGTCTCATTCCTGACCCTCCTGGTTCAGGGAGTTTTCCTGGTGAATTCTCTTTTCCTTCTCCACTCTGCTGGAAATAACTGAGAAATTGTGATATGAAAAATTCAGATGCACTGGATAAAAAAAAATCAGTTCCTTCAATAACATTGAAGGTTATTTTGAGATGTTTTTAGTTTACTTTTGTGCTGTAAGGTATGAAAGTTAATACATGTATGGAACGGTGTAACCCCCAGTAACAGCAGGACACAGAGCAATTTCATTGTCCCATAAAACTCCCTCTAAGGTCATGCTTTAAGTGAGTCTTTGGAAAAGAAAAATAAAAAGATTAATTTCAGAGATACAGGAGGGAATGGGAAATACTAAAGATATATATAATAAATAATACAAAATATAAAAGTAATGTGATGATAAAAAATAATAAAAAACAAACAAAATCTGAAGACCTGGATTCTTCCCCTGACACTGTTATTAATTGTCTGTGTTCCTTAGGGGACATCTTCGGTTTTGGAAACCCTAGTTTCTTCATCTTTAAAATTCAAAAATTCAAAATTTCATGGCATGTTCAATGATTCCTACTGCTCTTAATGGTTTCAGGATTGTGATTCTGTCTTAAATCACGTGAATGCAAACATGTCGAAAGAATCCTCACCTTCGTTGCTAAATAGATTTATTTATTGCATTCTTATGACCCACTCCTGAGTGTAGTCTTTAATCTCATGTGCATTTCTTGCTCTACCACACTGGAAAGATTGCTACTGTACATAAAATATTTTCTTTAATTTCCTCTAGAGAGGAGGATTTGAATTACGGTTCCATCATGGCCATGACATTTTGCCATGTCACTACTTAAATGTGACATTTTGATCGATAAATTGTAATCATTCTTGGTAACTCTTCTTCAACAAAAGAAGATAAAATGTAAGAATGACAAGTGACGTGTGAAACTCCAAGTTTCGCCCTGTTCTGTCACCTGCCTGAAGTTGTTCTGATCCACCTTGGCAAGGCGAGGTGAAGGAAAATCAGTCTCCACCCAGGATTTTGTGCAGGTTTTATGGTGTGGCTGATGATGTTATTGGATGATTTAATCAGGGCATGTCCCCCTTTTCTGTCCTGTGTGCTCTGAACTCCAGGACACCCTGTGCCGGGCAGGTAGTCACTCAGTGCTGGCAGTTTGTTTCCTTTATTACTTCACATGCTAAACTTTGTGAAATCAGAAGCAGTCTTCCCTCAGTATGTCACTGGGACTCATTTCCCTTGATGACTGGCCCCTCTGGGTGTGGAGCTCTGGCTGGAAAGTGGCTCTAGCAGTGGATGGACCCTGAAGCTGGACCAGGAGGGGAGGGGTGGCTCAGGGCAGTGAGCAAAGTCTGCAGGGGTTACCCCTCCTGCTGCCGTTGCTGCAAGTATGGCCCCGCGGGAAGGTGATGCAGATCAGCTGTTGTATGTGTATGTTGTGTGTGTGTGTGTGTGTGTGTGTGTGCGCGCGCGCGCGTGTTGGAGGGAGTGTGTGCCAGCTCTGCTTGTGTCTTCACCGCTAGGAAATAGGGTGTATGGGGGAAATATACCTCTTGACTTTCAGTTTGTCTGTGGAAGCAGTGATTGTAGGCATAGAACCTCCTGGAACTCAAGGGAAGTTGGTGAGTAGAGTGGATGATGAGTTAGGAGTGTGAGGGCATCGCTGGGTACTGCAACCAGACACTTTTCTCCTCCCTACCCTATGCCGCCTCCTGAAGGTGGTTGGTTGGGCAGAACTGCTGACCCCTCTCCCCCACCGCCTGTGCAGGTAGTGTGTGCCCTCCTGTGTGTGCTGTGCACTGGGCTGCAGAAAACAGTCCTTAAGAGGGACCTTCCAGAGGAGAACTAAAGCATTAGAGAAATCAGTTTCTTTCTTGCACACAAATGGAAAATAAAAACAACACTTTATTTTAAAAATATACCGGTCAGATAAAAGTGTTTAATTCATAGTTTTTTTATATTACATACTTGCCATTACTTGCTTTTCCCTGAAGCAAATAAAACAAGTTCAGAAATATTATTGATTGTTAGTTACAAACAGCAGTGTATGTTCTGGGGTGGCCCTAAAACTTGCATGAGCTGGGGTTTCAGCATTAAGATTCCAATAAATTTGAGAATTGGTGAACCTGAATTATATTTTTCTATAATTATGCTTGCATTGATATGATACTTTCCATTTTCCAGTGCTTAAACATATATATCTTTTTCTCATTTGCTACTCAAAAAATATCCTCAAGGTAGTTTGAATAAGTATGAGGCTAATAAAGAATCAGATAATTTCAGAGTTGGTGATCACATGTTCCAAACTTCTGAGACCCCAAGACATAAAGCCCGTGTCCCAATGCCACAAAACTAGTTAGAACTTAAATGCAAACACACATCTTTTGACTCCTGGGAAATTTTCTTTTAAAATACTTGTTTTTATTTGCCCAGAGATCTCAACTGCAAGTGTAAGAAGCATTTAGTGTTAAAATAGATGTCATTTTATCTTGACTATTATTTACTTATCCTCTGCAATTTCAGTAAGTACTAGTCTTAACAGTGTTGATTAAGATAGAATTACACTATCCAGTAATGTAGCCACTAACCACATGTGGCTGTTTCAAACTTAACTAAGATGAGAAATCCAGTTTCTCAGTCCTACTAACCACTCTTCAATGCTCAATCGCTACACCTGGCTAGTGGCTGGGTATCCAACCGTGCACATTCTCCATAGCACGTCCATCGTCGTGGCGAGTTCTGTTGAGCAGTGCTGTGTTAGAAGACCGGCCTGTTTGCTATTTCTTAGTGAATTATGATTGCATTCTTTTTCAGCTGATGCCTGGGGGGTGGCAGAAACTATGAACAAACAAACTGGCAATATCAAAAGGGCTTAGAAAATAGTTGACTCTTCAAGAAATATTTTTCCTATTCAAGAGAAAATGAGTATGTGTGAAATTAGGATAAGAAGTGCAACTAAGCATGTAAATGATTTTTAGGAAGTCATCAGCACAGTGGATATTTTCAGATGGTACCCTAGATAAGCTTTTTTGGGGGAAACATTTTGGATCACAATTTTTATCAGCATTAAGGCCTTTCAGGGACAGTGTTCATTTCAGGTCCCTCTAAGTGAGGTTTTAAACACTTTGAGTTAAGATGCTATCCAACAATTTGAAGTGGAGAGTGGTAATCATTCAGAGGAAGACCCAGAGAGCAGCAGGCCAGAAGGCTGGGCTCTGTCTTTGAGGACAGAAGGGCGCACTGATCCACACACACACACACACTTTTGTGACTTTTACGCACATGGAAGTGTGGTGTATTCGACTATCTTGGTGAATTAGATCAGCTTCTCACCAATTATTGGGGGCCTCTGTGACCTTTGACCCTTCTGCACACAGTCTCACAGCATCGATGAGTTATATTAAGACACTATTGGAAATTTCTTGCAAAGGCATCTAAGGGGAGAGAGGAACTTCAGGAAAACAATAAAGGAATGAGGGAGTAGGTAAATACGAATTCAAAGTAATCCTGATGTCGAGTGTAAAATATTTCACGGAGATTTTTAATTTCTTTCAAGTTTAAATGGGGTTTTGAGAGGAAGAGAGGTTGGGCTCATCTGTGTTGGCGGTGATGGATCCTGAAAGTGTGAATGTGCTTGCATTTTGGCAAGGGTGGAGGTTGGAAACAGACCGCAAGGAAGATGAGCTGGGAACAGAATGTGTGTGTTTGAAGGTGGTGTAACAGCCTTGGCTACAGAGGTGGGTTACAGCGAGGGGAGAGGCGCTTGAAGGCAGGGGGTCGACAGTGGAGGTGGTTGTCAGAGGCAACCTATTGATCCCTGAGGGCCAGGAACGAAATGGTCTTTCAAAACAGTGGGTCCCAGGAGGTGTGTGTTCAAGGTGGTTGGAACCCTGGGGCCCGAGAGAGCAGTTGGGGAGGCCAGAAGGTACAGCTGTCTGTCTCCCAGGAAACCTGTGAATATTTACTGAGCCCTACTTCACTCTAGGTGCAGGGGATGAAATAGAGAATAAGCTGGAGACCAACATGGAGCATGATGGGCGGACGATTACAGGGCATTAGGAAAGGAGAGAGGAGTTAGGAAGTGGTGAAGGCTGATAAATCTCTCATGTTCTAGAAGGCTGGCATAAAAAAAGGCAAGTATTTTCTTACTAGGCCATTTATGTTACTGTGTTTGTTTGTGGTCGCTGTTTTCTCCAAACACGCATTCTCTAGAAATTTGTATATCTTCTCTAAAATTATTCTGTAGCAAAAGGCTTATGTTGCTGTGCAAAAACAAAATGGAAAAAAGTCTACACAAGGTCTAACCTATTATTAATTGTAAGCTTCCTTGCATGCAGACCCCTGGAAAAACTCCAGAAGTTTCTATTTTTTTTCCCCCTTTGGATCAGACTGACAACCAGAAGCCAATGTACATTCTCTAGAGACCAAAAGGTTTAAATGTTGTGTAACAGGGTGGTCCCCAGGAAAGGGGGAGGTTCCCTGCCCCTCCCAAGGAAGGGTGGAGCTGAGCAGGAAGAGGAGAAGCTGCAGAAGAGACTGAGGAAGGAAGCAGGATGGAGCCAGGAGACCTGGAGGAGGCGCATGGAGCCTAGAGACACGTGAAGAAACTGCGCTTGTCTTTTGGTCGTGGACTGGGTGACACAGATGTGGGTGAGACCCGTGGGGAGGTGACCATGGCAGCTTTTATCTTGATGTTGATTTTGCTCTTTTCCTTCCGGGCTTGTTTGGTTGTTTGTGACCCTTTTCTGTGGGTCCCCACTGGAAGATGCTTTAGACTTGTAGCAGGCTTTGGGGCTTTGCTCTGGGCCAATCCCATTTGGATGGACTTTTACCCACGAGGGGATGGGTAACTTTGGGTGCTTCATTTAGAAACTAGACTCTTTGCCTTACCTGTATTGTTTCCTAGTTTTATTAAAGTTCCTTCCCATTAAAGTCTCCTATGTTTTGTGTTGATGCGGCGGATGGCAGAACCCATGTAGAATAGGCAGGTTTGTGGGGGTTGGGCTGCCCCTCTCCCTGTCCTATAACAGTTGGACTTCATTGTTGGAGTCAAGTTTGTGTCAGCCAGGATTGGGAGCTTTAAAAACATGTGGCACTAGCTCACACACACGACGGCTTTTAACGACGGGAATAGTGCTCAGATGTTAATAATAAAAAAGTCACTACTATAACCTTTAGTGTGGTTTATTTATATGTTGACATGTATTCAATTTTGTAATTAGTTTTACAATCAAATAATGTGCTTATCTGCTTTCTATGTGTTTATATAATATGCAATATAATGGAATGATTCCATGAATTACTGGGTATCTGTAAGGTGGCATTTATACAATATTTGCTTTTGTCCTTTTGTTTTCTAATTTTTAAATTTTATTGAAGGGCATGGAGACTTACTCATGCCATAATATTAAGTAAAAACAATCAGGATATAATATATTTTCATTATAATAACACATAGGAAAGAATGAAAAGAATAGCACAAAATATGTTAATCCTTGGGATGCGTGAGGTGATCGTGGAGTCCTTCAAGAACGAATTCCACAGACTCACTGTAACAGGCGTATTTAACAGGCCTTAATAGGCAAGTTTATTGAGAAAAAGGGGGACATTGACACAAGCAGGCGAAGGCTGCGTTTTGAAAGGTACAAGTTTATTAAGAGAAAAAAGACATTTTGCACAGACATAAACAGGCTATGAACTGCATTTTTAAAAGGGCAGGGGTGGCCTTTGGTGTTGTTGTTAGGTGGAATTTCTCATTGTTCTTGGTAGAATTTCTCACTTTGGAATTGGACTGGCTGGTTTGCTGTAAAGGTTGGTAACCATTTCTACCCCTGCCTTTGGTTTTCCACAGCTGGTTTGAAGACTATGTTACTCATCTGCACCCTGCTTACCCCCACCCCCACCCCCA